ATCTTCAATATTGATCGGAATTTCGAGCCCAAACAATTATTTCGTCCACCGGGTGTAGATTTTTCTAGTTTCACGTGTCATGCCTCTTTCGGATGTCTCAGTTATTTCTCTTTTACTCAACTCTCCAAGTTTTCTTCTCAAATACACATGACCCACTGGATAAAAAAGTTGGCTAGAACCAGTGACTAGACCCAAAGTTTTGTGAGTTCAATACCAGGCCACAGAAGTGGTAAAACAAAATTTCGAAATTCAAATAACCTGAAGAAGGCCAGAGCGTACAACGGCCGAAACGTTGTGAATATGCCAATGAAGATGAGGATAAAAGTCCGAATAATGTAAATAATGCAAGTAATCATAATACCTCATCTCAGAGATATAGAGGCCGATATATTCTGGATTACTATTACTATTTTATAGTGAGCTTGGTCCCTGCGAAATGTCTCATATTTATGGCTTTGTACTAAACCAAGCAATGCTGATTAAGCAGCAGCAATGACATTACTATCTAAATGTCTACTGGATAAAAAAATAAACAACCTTGCTACTATTAAAAAGCTCTAATCAGAGTAATGTTTTCTTCAGTCACAATGAATAGATGCAATCGCAAAGAGGCCCAAATGATTTAAAAGCAGGTCGGGTCTTATGTTCATTCCAGAGCTCAAGGGAAATCCATTTCTAAAGATTCCGGAGAAATTATTTCCCACTAGAAAGTACCTGATTTCTTCTGTCATGATTTTTTAAAAGTCAGATTTACATTAAAAAGGATGATTCCTACCATGTCTGGGCTGGAGCAGCACATTCCTCAATTGCCAGACTTGATAGAGTTCAAAAACATTTACTCAGTTTTTGTTTTTTTTTTTTTACGGTTTATCAACCTTTTGTGCGTTATTTAAAGCGGAAACATATTTTGAATTGCAAGAATAATTATGTTTTTTTATGTCTTATCAACCCTTTTTATGTTATTTAAAGCCGAGAAATATTTTGGATTGTAAGAATAATTCTGTTTTTTATGTCATATCAACCCTATTTATGTTATTTAACACCTGAATATATTTGGATTGTAAGAATATTTTTTTTAATGTCTTATCAACCCTTTTTATGTTATTTAAAGCCAACACATATTTTGGATTGTAAGAATAATTCTGTTTTTTTTATGTCTTATCAACCCTTCTTATGTTATTTAAAGACGGAACTATTTTGGATTGTAAGGATAATTCTTTTTCTTCATGAGAGACAAGTATTAACAAGTAAGGTTATTTAACCCATAGCTAGGAGGGGAGATGAATTCATACAATTCCCAACTTTATTTGTCCGTAAGTGAATATAACGAATCTAACTGGAATTCGAACTCGGCTTCCCAATTTCTCATTCCGTGTCACTCCATCGACGTTAAAGCGCTGGGAGATGGACTGAAGCCAAGATGCCAGGTCTGGAATTTAATTTTTTTATATTATATAGATATTTATTTTTATATTTAAGATATAACATTTTGAATATTATTTCTTCCTTCTGGAGCGGCCATGGCTCTTCTCAACTTCTTCTCCTTAGTAATAATGCTTGTTCACTTCCTAACCCACTTCCACTTCTGCCATCCTTATAGGCAAGATCGTTAAGTAAGGAACTTGATGTTTCCATCTACCTCTGTTGCCTTCATTATGTTCTGCTATCGTCAAATTCTTTCCTCATAATGTGTCCCATAAATTTCAGCTGCCTCCTTCCGATCTCAAGTGTCATTTGTCTTCCCATTTTCCTGAAAACTTCCCCTTTGCACACATACTCTGTCCATGTCATTCTCAGCATCCTTCTGTAGAATTACGTCTCTGTTGTCACAGGTCTTCTTTACATTTATAAGGAAATTGTCCAGCATTCGATGCTATATAAGTAGTTTAATTCTTCAGCACTCTTTGTTTCCAACGACATCTTCACGTTTCTTTTTCATTAGCTTTTGGAAGGCAACTTTCGATATTCCAATGCACCTTCGGATTTTGAGGTCAAATTTGCCGTCACTTGTTATCCAGTTTTCCATGGGACTTAAAGTTCTGTACTTGCTTGATTCTGACATCCTCGGCTGTTAATCTTGATAACGACGATCTTAACTGAAAACATCATAATCCATGCATTAACTCTGAGCTGCTTAATCAGCGAGTGTAGGCAGCTCACAGTATTCGAGATAGACGACTTTAATAAAATCTTTGTATTTAATGTGTTTAAGAAGAAAAATAAAATAAAATGTACTGCCCAACGCAAGGATTGAACTCATAACCTTCAGTCAATCAGAGACTAACTTTTAATGGCAATATAACCCCTATTTACTGGAATAAGATCACCAAGTAGATTTTTCTAAAGCCAAGGCCCTTTCTTTGTGGTCAATTTATTTTTTCTGATTTTTTTTCAGCGTTTTTGTTACTCAGTTTTAGCTTCACTCAGGTTTCTTTTCCCATTTGCTCAGATGGTCGATTGCTTCGAAATAACAGCGGAAAATGAAGCAGAAAAAAAAGTGAAGTCTGGAAAGTTAAAATAAGCAGAGATTATGACAACAAATACTACTACACCTAATATATCGGACTGCTACTACTACTATTATTCTGTGTGCCATGTCCGTTCAGGATATGGGTGGTATGGCTCTCCCCAGCTTCTTGTCCTTTGTTACTGTTTAAAAATTGTTTTTTTTATCTCTCCTAAACCTTGTTTCTCAATCCCTTTACTCAAACTCACTCGGTATGTTGTCATCGTCGTCATCGGCATCCGTTCGTCTCCAGAGACGATGGAATAGCGCGGTTCGCTACGAGCCTGAACTGGATATATGGAGAACTAGGGCTGCCCGGACGTCTAGTTCCCCCTCCCGGCCTTGCTAGCAGAGTTCAAAGGAGAGCATAAACCAATACAGTTTGCTACCAGCACGGCTGCAGGAGTTGCCGGAAGTTAGCACAAAGTGCCGTCCATCCGCCTTAGAGGCTCCACTCCGGGTTAGAATTCAGAGTTGTCCTTCTCCTAGACCAGTTTCCATCCAAGGCTATAGAACCCAGACTTTCCTGCTATTTATCCATAGCTGATGGGGGAGAGAAGAAGAGAATTCATACCTTCGCCAAGGGTCAGTCAGTTATGTGCCATGCGTGATACACGCTTAAGCGATCACGTATCTTTCGATACATGACTGACGAGGCAGAATTTTTTCCCGCAATAGGTTGTCATTTCTTTCTGCGGTAGACCAGTTGCCATCCAAGGCTATAGAACCCAGTCTTTCCTGCTATTTACCCATAGCTGGAGGGAGAAGAAAAGGATTCACACCTTTCCCAAGGGCATTAGCCCGTAATATATATATATATATGTGTGTGTGTGTGTGTGTATTTGTTTAATAGCCAGTCGTGAGATACGTATATATGTTTGGAAAATTAACATTTCTGGCTTTAAACTTGTTTTTCCTTAATAATACACCTAGACTGCCAATATCTCGCTTGCATCTGTTATCCATAAAAAATAAACAAAGAAATGAAATAAAATAAAAGCCAAAGACACAAGAAACGAAACAATTCAGGAAGAACAGTAACAACATTACATTCTTGTAACCATCATAATCCCCTGGTGATATCTTTTTTTTTTAAGCATTTCACCCCAGGCAAGGCGGGAATGCCACTAACACGCAAGGGGTTACAGAGAGATAGAGCAAGAGTAAAGAAGGGTGTTTGAGGAAAGGATAAAGAGAAGGACGGGGATCAGGAATAAGGCATCAGAAGATGTCGATTGATATTTAATATCGTTCTTAGGTAGAAATATTTTTTTAAGCATTTCCCCCCAAGCAAGACAGGAGTGCCACTAGCACACAAGTGATTACAGATAGCAAGAGCAAATAGGGGTGTTCGAGGAAGGGATATAGAAAAGGACGGGGAACAGGATCAAGGCATTAGAAGATGTCGACTGACATTACATTTGGATATTTCAAGATTATAGCCATCAGGGAAACAAGTAAGAGGAAGGGTGTTCCACTGTCTAGAAGTGCGAGAAAAGAAGTTGCTGGATTAGAAGAGACGACTACATTTAACCGTTTCGACAGTGAAATGGTCGGACCGAGATGCCAACCTTGTAGCACGTTTAAATTTTTAAATTCATGTAACGAATTATAGCTAAACACAAAACAGAATCACAGACCTCTTATTATATTATGTAATACATAGAAAAACGATTTTTTAACACTATTTCTGCATCCAAATTTTTAAATTGTTACTCAGTTCATAGATGTGCAAACCACTGAATGCGATAGACGAATAAACACTAAGGAATTCTGACATGTTATACCAAAAAACATATCAAAACATATATTCTATTAAGACTAAGTACGCATGCCCAAGCACACATATCTGCATATGCATTCCATCTTCCTTGAATTAAGTATTCCTATTTGAAATGCTGAGTTCCATGCCACTTAAACACCGTTACCGCGTGTGAAATTACTTACATAACTTCTTTTATGGGAAGCCCTGAGAAAAAAAAGGCGGCTAACACAGTAGCTCTGGTAGCGTTCAATTCATTGCAAAGCTGACAAATATAGAATGGATTTGAATAAGTTTAACACAACGCTGAAGATTATAAAATCGTGCGAAGTACGAAAAAGTCCTGTAAGTGAACAAAGAAATCAGCTACACATCTATCTCATAGACATTGTTTGGCCTGGGAGAAAATAATGAAATAATGTGACCAGTCCAGATGCGGAGAGAAAAATTACGAATGGCCTTGACGGTGGTAAGAATGTGATGCGTCATGTACAGAAAGAATAACGAAGAAAAGTTTTATTCACGGATCGAAAGGTATAAAATACCCTGTATATATTTTTTAGATTTTATTTCTTTTCTTTTTTGATTATGAAAATTGCAACATTATCAAATGATTTCGTTTTACTCTGTTCAGTGCTTTCGATGCGATTTCGGAGAAAACGTTATTAGTGATGATAATTTTTTTTTCTAAATCTTTCTTATGTTGTTCATAAAAGTGGGTTGGGTGCAAAGTCAACAGCTGAAGTTAATATTAATATAAAGACAAAAAACTTGTGAAAAAGTAGAGAAAGATAGAAAGAAAGGAAGAAAATAATGAAAAGGGAAGTGACAAACAAAAAAGAGACGAAAATGTTTTTTTTTAAAACTGTTAGCAAAGAAAGAACGAAAGAATGAATACAAAATGCTGCAAAACTGGAGACAAAGAAAGAAAGAAAATGCTGAAAAACTGAGGAAAAGGAAAGGAAAAGCTGAAAAACTGGGGAGAAAGAAAAAAGAAAGGAAATGCTGAAAAACTGGGGAGAAAGAAAGAAAGAAAATGCTGAAAAACTGGGGAGAAAGAAACAAAAGAAAATGCTGAAAAACTGGGGAGAAAGAAAAAAGAAAGGAAATGCTGAAAAACTGGGGAGAAAGAAAGAAAGAAAATGCTGAAAAACTGGGGAGAAAGAAACAAAAGAAAATGCTGAAAAACTGGGGACAAAGAAAGAAAGAAGATGCTGAAAAACTGGGGAAAAAGAAAGAAAGAGAATGCTGAAAAACTGGGGAGAAAGAAACAAAAGAAAATGCTGAAAAACTGGGGACAAAGAAAGAAAGAAAATGCTGAAAAACTGGGGAGAAAGAAACAAAAAAAAATGCTGAAAAACTGGGGACAAAGAAAGAAAAAAATGCTGAAAATCTGGGGAGAAAGAAAAAAGAAAGGAAACGCTGAAAAACTGGGGAAAAAGAAAGAGAGAAAATGCTGAAAAACAGGGGAGAAAGAAACAAAAGAAAATGCTGAAAAACTGGGGACAAAGAAAGAAAGAAAATGCTGAAAAACTGGGGAGAAAGAAACAAAAAAAAATGCTGAAAAACTGGGGACAAAAAAAAGAAAGAAAATGCTGAAAAACTGGGGAAAAAGAAAGAAAGAAAATGCTGAAAAACTGGGGAGAAAGAAAGAAAGAAAATGCTGAAAATCTGAGGAGAAAGAAAAAAGAAAGGAAATGCTGAAAAACTGGGGAGAAAGAAACAAAAGAAAATGCTGAAAAACTGGGGAGAAAGAAAGAAAGAAAATGCTGAAAAACTGGAGAGAAAGAAAGAAAGAAAATGCTGAAAACTGGGGACAAAGAAAGAAAGAAAATGCTGAAAAACTAGGGACAAAGAAAGAAAGAAAATGCTGAAAAACTGGAGAGAAAGAAAGAAAGAAAATGCTGAAAACTGGGGAGAAAGAAAGAAAGAAAATGCTGAAAAACTGGGGACAAAGAAAGAAAGAAAATCCTGAAAAACTGGGGAGAAAGAAACAAAAGAAAATGCTGAAAAACTGGGGACAGAAAAAAAGAAAGAAAATACTGAAAAACTGGGGATAAAGAAAGAAAGAAAATGCTGAAAAACTGGGGACAAAGAAAGAAAGAAAATGCTGAAAATCTGAGGAGAAAGAAAAAAGAAAGGAAATGCTGAATAACTGGGGACAAAAAAGAAAGAAAATGCTGAAAAACTGGGGAGAAAGAAAGAAAGAAAATGCTGAAAAACTGGGGAGAAAGAAACAAAAAAAAATGCTGAAAAACTGGGGAGAAAGAAAGAAAGAAAATGCTGAAAAACTGGGGAGAAAGAAAGAAAGAAAATGCTGAAAAACTGGGGAGAAAGAAAGAAAGAAAATGCTGAAAAACTGGTGAGAAAGAAACAAAAGAAAATGCTGAAAACTGTGGAGAAAGAAACAAAAGAAAATGCTGAAAAACTGGGGTCAAAGAAAGAAAGAAAATGCTGAAAATCTGGGGAGAAAGAAAGAAAGAAAATGCTGAAAAACTGGGGACAAAGAAAGAAAGAAAATGCTGAAAAACTGGGGAGAAAGAAACAAAAGAAAATGCTGAAAAACTGGGGACAAAGAAAGAAAGAAAATGCTGAAAAACTGGGGACAAAGAAAGAAAATATTTAAAGGGCCAGTGAAAAAGAAACAACAGAAAATGTATTTTTTAAACTGTAAACAAAGAAACAACGAAAGAATAAAAACACTGCAAATTGGTGATACATAAAGAATGAAAAAAATATTGAAAAAGTAGTGAGAAAGAAAGAAAGAAAATATTGAAAAAAAATAACTAATGACAAAAATCACACAACGAATGACAGTGATAAAATTGTAACATTCTGGCAACAGAAATGAAGAAGGAAAAAGTGTAAAAAACTAAGACATGGGCAAAAAAATTCCTCTGTGTTAATTACGAAAAAATTCAATAATTAAATTTGCCTCTAATAAATGAAAAAGAAAGATAGTTTGAAACACAAAAAATGACAGTTTAAAAAAAGATAATGAATGAAAGAAATGTTTCGAACAAATCAAGGAAAAAAAAAAGACTGACTGCTCTCAAAATCGAGAAATGACACAACGGGAATTTATTGAATGACAAAACGAATAGAAAATCAAATAAGGAAATAAAATAAAGTGAAAAATAAGCAATAAATAAATAAATAAAAGAGAAATTTATTAAAAAAAAAAAATTGAAAGCAATGCTATTTCGGCTGGGTTGTTTCATTCCTCCCCACCCCCAGTCTGCACCTCGAGTGGCTGCTTTTCAAATTTATTAATTAATCAAGTAATTAATGCATTGTCTTTTTTGTTACCTTGTAATTCTTAATGATTTCATTCAAACTTGATAAAATTGATCTGTTTCTATAGTCTTTAATGTCAATGAATAAAACGGTAACATAAAGTATCCCCCCCTCTCTCTCTCTCTCTCTCAATGTGGGGTACGTATCAAGACCACAGCGGGTGATTGGAAAGCACGCATAGTATTTAATCCTATATGTGTTACGTATATATATATATATATATATATATATATATATATATATATATATATATATATATATATATATATATATATATTATAAAAAAGAAAGAACAGTCAGATATATAATCCGGTGTTCTTATTGATATTTTATTTTTACAAAACAGTGCTCAATATAAATTAACAGAGCATAAATATTATAAATTAACTGATTTAAAATATGGTTTCTTCGCTACACAGAACACTTGCCAGATATTTAAATTTCTGTGTTTGTTTGATCTTAGTATGGCCGAGTACTGCGCTTAAATTCATAAATATAAGTAACACAAAGGATAGCACATTAAAACAATTACCATAAAAGACACAGGGAATATTACGACGATGGGGAAGCGACTGAAGCCGAAAGGCTAGGTTAGGACCAATATAATTGCAGCTTCTTCTTTGGATTTTATCAAGGATTTCTTAATATATTGTGAGAATACCAGATCATATGATGCAGCAATATTCTAAGCAGGGAAGAATGGTAGACTTCTCAATATGTGAGATAGATTCGAACGTTCAGATTTACTATTGAGACAGGAGTAAATAGTTGTGTCATTTGCATAGATACCGACTTGAGAACTGATGCCATTAGTAACGTCGTTGATGAACAACGTAGATCCAAGGATAGAATCCTGGCGGACGCCTGCATTAATACCACAACATCTAGCGGAGTGGCCATTCAAGACAACTTTCATTTCGGGATTTGATAAGAAAGACAGAATCAGTTCAAAAATTCGCCCAGAAATACCTTAACCTTTCGAGAAGAAAGACCAGTATATCAACCTTTGCCAAATGTTTTCGAGAGAGCCAAAGCAACAGATTGATCTTCAACATCTCTATCTATAAAAGGCAGGATGTGTGTGTGTGTAACGAATGCACGGCCACAATTTTCGACGGATTTGCACCAAAATTTACATGCACATGCTCCAAATTAGCGGGAAGGCCAAGACCGACATTGCATTTCCCAACTCCCATCGATAGTGGAAATAATCGATTTTTTCATACTTCTACGGCAGTTTCCATGTAGTTTGCAGCCATTTTGTACTGGCCAGAGTGAGAGCATATAGCTGGCTGTCACGAATAGGCAGGAAGATTCTATTGGCCAGCGTAAGAGCCAACAGCTGACTGACACGAATGTTAACTAGCATGCTAGCATACAAAAAAAATCGATAGCTGCATTCGTCACAAGTGGGAAAAATTTAAATCTGCATGGCACTTTACTCCAATTGGCTCATTTGCTTGCTTAAACTCAACGTTGATTCTGATTCCGCAGAACTGGGTTAGGTGTGAAAAGGTATTTGTTGTTAACATTCTTTTTTCATTCGGTTTTTCCAGTTACGAGTCCTTTTTTAAAGCTGATCGTTTTGTGTTCATTTTGTTTAGTTCTTTTTTCGTAACAGATTTAATGTTTAGTATAGAGCTTAGAAAAAAATCGCAGTGTGAGATAGACAAGAAGTAAGGCATGTAGCAACATCAGCATGGCAAAGGGCACTCCTTTAAAGGCAAGGAAGGGCAAAAATATTTTAAGTTAAATGATAGCGATTGCTGTATGTGTCGTACGATTTTTGAATCAAGCACGGGCAACCCCGAGCCATGCTGCTAGTTCTTATATAAAGCTTCATAGACTCTTTCTGAAATAAATATTAATATATCAGCAGCTGATCTCTAAATGTTAAAGCTATATTACATAGCTGAAAAAAAACCGTTCGAGGATTGATTAGAGCCATTAGTATTTTACTAAAAAAGGGTAGAATGTTAAAACGCTGATAGTCAATACGATCAGATGGTTCGCCTGGGTTCTTAAAGACCTTAAAGCAGATTTCCAACAAACAGGAAAGCAAGAGGCAGCAAGGCACTTATTGTACAGTTTAAAGAGAACAGGAGCCTGTCCAGGAGCACGGAACTCTTGCAGGGATACCATAATGTCTACAGTTTAGCTATGATAGCAGAAAGCATGGACGGAGTTATAGGCATTTGACTTCATAGGGTATTTTAGTGAATATGTGAGAAAGATATTTCAGATCAGTCAAGAGTAGAATTTGAAGAGAGTTTATTAGTCAGACCTTCTGCTTTATAAGATGTATGTATACAAGGAGATGCAAAACAGTCATGAAAAACTAAACGTGCACACAAAACGCAATTTATTGAATGGAAAAATATATCACTAATAACATCAATAATAAATATATCAATCTTTCCAATGTTTAAAGTATT